CTGAGAAGTACAAAATGTCCCTCCCAGCAGAAAGACGACAAATTCCATTTTTTTAAAAATCCACACGGGAATCGAACTCGAGTCTCTTGAAAGCGGTGGAGGTGTATAACATTAACAATAAAAGATATGAGACATCGTGATGAAATCAGGCGCTTGTCCAAAATACTGAAATCCGGGAAATCGACAATTTTCGGTCAATTTGGACTTTTTTTTCGAATTTTGTTTATTTGGCTCAACACCTTGAATATCCATTTAAAAACACTATTATGTGTGGATTTTTATTTTTAAAAACGTAGATTTATGGCAAACAAAAAATGTAAGTTTGCAATTTCCAAGGATACTTAAGCTACAGAAATCACCAAACTTTGGCGGACATTTTCTCGCTAATTTTACTCCTAAAACCAGGCAACCCCACCTCCTTTAATCGCAAATATTTCGACCAAGATAAATGGGTATTTTTTTCAGCGAAAGCAAGACAAATCTGAATAACCTTTAAGATGACACCAATAACTCCACATACCCCCCCCAAAAAAAAAATCCAAAAAAATCGACGAGCGCCCGATTCCACAGCGTCGAGGCACACATTATTATTCTAAAGCATGGCACGGTAGTGGCAAACTATTGTTAGTGTTAAACACACCCATTCCTACCTCTTGCATAATATTGCACAAGTAGTAGGATTCCGGAGGATTTTTTCTGTTTCTCGTAATAATTGTCAGTCCTAATATTTATCCGATTTGCAAATTTTCTGTAACTGAAATTTCGAATTCATTTTTTCTTTAAATCGTGACTAGATCTACTCGTTTTCCTCCTCATGATCGCGTCCAATTTGAATTTTAGTCTTGCTTTCTTTGTGGAACCACAAAGAATCATCATCACCCAGTGCCAGAGATCGGTGATTATGGTTCTCCATTCATTCCTTTGCTCGGATGCTCTAAAAAAAAATAAGGGAAACGTAGCTGTTTTTTGAGAGCACCCGAGCAAAGGAATGAATGGAAAACCATGATCGCCGATGTCTGTCGCAAATCTGGCACTGGATGATGATGATTCTTTGTTTGTGCTTTTCACTCATACGGCACCATAGAACATTTAAAAGAAAATTAAAACAAAAGAAAATAAATATAAAAAAAACAACAACAACAACAACAACAACAACAACAAACAAACAAAAGAAAACCAACCACAAAAATGTGAATTCATGGAGAATTGATGAAGGTGCTGATTTTTTTACTGTCTCGTGTGTCTGTGGGAGGTGCTGGGCGAGTGCTTTTACTTGTACATGAAGTATCATTTCTTGCAAGAAACGAAAATTAGATATTAGAAGACAATAAATAAAACCAGTAATAATGATCACTCAATAGACATGTGTTGTTGTAAGCAATCAGAGCAATGATAATGATATTGATATAGCCAAAAGTTAGAATACTTGTACATTTTTTTTTATGTCAGTGACAATAATAATAAGAATTTTTTTTAAAATAAAATCACAACAACACAACAACAACGGCGCCAATAATAAT